CGTCAGCCTGCAGGCCGAAGGGTCCCTGGTTCAATTCCAGTCAAGGCCATGTACTTTGGTTGTGGGCATATCCCCAGTGGGGGGGCGTGTAGGAAGCAGCTGATCAATGTTCCTCTCATCGATGTTTCTAACTCTCTATCCTTCTCCCTTCCTCACTGTAAAAAATCAATAAAATATATTTTTAAAAAATGGTTAGACCTGAATAAACATTTCTCCAAAGAGGATATGCAGATGACCAATAGATATATGAAAAGATTCTCAACTCACTAATTGTCAGAGAAATGCAAATTGGAATCTCAATGAGATATCAGCTCACACCTGTCAGCATGACTATCATCAATAACTCAAACAAGTGTTGCCCAGGATGTGGAGGAAAAAACAAACAAACTCATGCACTTTTGGTGGGATTGCAAATTGGTGCAGCCACTACAGAAAATGGCATGGAGGTTCTTCAAAACCTTAAAAATAAATAGTGCAAGTAACTTGTTACAAAGTATTTCCAACTTCTCCCTCCCTTACCATGTAAAACTCTTTTTATTCGTTTTACTTTTACAGAAGCTTTAATTACTGAATATATTGTTACTATTATTTCTTTTAACAAATTAATCTGTTAGATCAATTAAGAATGAGAAAAATAGCCCTAACTGGTTTGGCTCAGTGGATAGAGTGTTGGCCTGAGGACTGAAAGGTCCCAGGTTCGATTCCGATCAAGGGCATGTACCTTGGTTGTGGGCACATCCCCAGTAGGAGGTGTGCAGGAGGCAGCTGATCCTTATTTCTCTCTCATTGATGTTTCTAACTCTCTATCCCTCTCCCTTCCTCTCTGTAAAAAATCAATAAAATATATTTTAAAAAAAGAATGAGAAAAATAAAGATTGTATTTTACCTTCATTTATACTTTCTGCGTCCTCTCCCTTTCTTTATGTAGATTCAAGTTTCTGACCTATATCATTATTCTACTCTGTGAAGAACTACTTTCAGATCTACTAATTAATTCCTCTCTCTCTTGAGAAAGTCTTTGTTTTTGTTGTTGTTGTTTTTTTTTTGTTTTGTTTTGTTTTTACTTTTGAATGATAATTTTCTGGATATAGAAATCTAGTGTGGTATTTCTTTTCTTCAACCTCTTAAACATTTAACTGCATTCTGTTCTGGTATGATGATATCTGAAGATATGTCCAGGTGTTTCTTTGTGAATAATGTTTTCCTTTCTCTGGCTTTTTTCAAGAGTTTATCTTTTTCTTTTATTTTTATTTTATTTTTTTACATTTTAAATATAGTATGTCTAGGTGTATACATTTTTCCCCCCTGGATGTTGTTTTCTAAACATCCTGAAATCCTCTGAAATTCTCATCTGTTATTTCTTCAATTATTTTTGTTTCTTTTTCATTTTCTGGTATTCCTATTATGTATATGTTTCACATTTTACAATTGTTCCATTGTTTTTGGATATTTTGTTCAATTTATTAAATTCTTTTTTCTCTTTGTTATTCAGTTTGGGAAATTTCCACTGACATATATTTAAGTTCAATAATTCTTTCCTGGCTGTGTCCAGTCTACTTATATTCTCATCCAAAGCATCCTTCATTTTTGTTATAGTGTTTTATTTCTATTTCTTTTTAATTATTTTTTTAGCGTTTCGATCTCTCTGCTTACATTAATCACCTATTCTTGCATGTTGTCCACTATTCCCATTAGAATCTCAGCATACTGAATCTAGTTGTTTCAAATTCCCTGATAATTTCAAAATCTGCTAAGTCTGATTCAGATGCTGTCTTTGTTTCCTTAGATTGTGTTTTGTTTTGTTTTGTTTTTCCTTATAGTGTGACATTTTTTGCTTAAAGCTGGACATGACACATTGGTCAAAAGAAACGGAAGTAAATAGGCTTTTAATGTGAATCTTTTCTTCTTCTTTTTTTTTTTAATCTCTCTAGGACTTGGGTCACGTTTACTGTTTGCTGACGCTCCAAGTATCAGAAGTTAAATTTCTGCCACGTCCTTGTTTTTGTTCACAGTGCTATTTTTGAATTTTTTAAAGAAACTGGCTCTCAAATAGAGTCTGAATCTTGTGCTTTATTCAGCTGTTAACTGTTGTTATTATATAGCGACCTTATTTATGTTATGGTAATGTGTGTCATAGTAGAGAAACATTCTGTAATTCTATGGGAAGTCTCATTCTTTCAGTAAGCCTATACCCTGTGTTTAACAGTCACAAGTTTTTCTCAGTTTTTCTGGACTTACATAAGATGGGAAAGCTAGAGGTTGCAGCATTGGTTATTTCCCTTCCAAAAGGTCAGTTTGGCTCTGGTAAAATAGTTCTCCCTGAGGACAGGCATTTGTTAAGGAGAAGAGAATACTATGCATTTTAAATGATTACTTATCCCCTTTGTCTGGTAGAAGCAAAAGGTGACTTTTTCTGACATTCACCTTGAGAATCTAGTAAGGGCTCCTTTATGTAAAACTCACAAATATTTTTTTCCCTTCTCCCAAAATTGGTCTTCCAAGAATTTATATGTCTCAAGCTAGTCCCTGCTAAATTTCCAGTAATTTTTAATTATTCTTTAAGTATTCCTATGAATTGTTGGCTCCATCAGAGGTGTTGGCTTCTCTGTGTTCACCCGTCTCTTCAGTTTTGGAGTCACTGGTTTCCCCATGACTTATTTTCTCTGACAGATTGACGAATTGTTAATATTTATTTTTGTGTGCTTTTTTTTTTATAGAGAAAAGAATGGATTTAATACAAAGATACTTTACTACAATTTGATAAAAATCATCTTCCCTCTACTTTCACAAATCACAACACAGAGACTTATTATAAACTAACGTAGGATAAGAGATTTACATTCATCAAAAAATAATATTCCAGCCAGAATCAGTTTGGCTTAGTGGATAGAGCGTCGGCCTGTGGACTCAAGGGTCCCGGGTTCGATTCCGGTCAAGGGCATGTACCTTGGTTGCAGGCACATCCCCAATGGGGGGCGTGCAGGAGGCAGCTGATTGATGTTTCTCTCTCATCGATGTTTCTGGCTCTCTATCCCTCTCCCTTCCTCTCTGTAAAAAATAAATAAAATATATTTAAAAAATAATAATATTCCAGCCTTTTTCATCATTAATACCTATTTGTAGCATCTATATGACTGGGATATCTGATCATAATCTTTGAATTACTACAGAGTGTGTTGAAAGTTAGAACCTGTTTTATTAAATTGAATCAAAGGTGTATTTTTCTATTTTTCTGATCCATTATAAAGACTTTAATGGTAGAATCTAGTAATAATAGGCTCTAGGAACATCTAAGAACTTTGAAGGAGACAAGCTGCACAGGTAAAATGGTAATTATTAAATACAGCACCCAATATTTATGGGAAAATCCTTTTATAAAGATTTTTTTAGATTTTGCTTTATCAATGGGTTTGTTTAATCCTAATGAATCATTGCATGAAAAGTTTATTTTTTTGTTGTAAGGATGAGAGGAAAGAATCCCTAGCTCTTTGTGTATTGGTGTAAGAACTGGAAGTCTGCCTATAGGTTTTTAATGAAAGCTGCACAATAATTAAAAGCAAATAAATATTTTGAAAGCTTCTTTGTAAATTCTAAATGAATGGTTCTATTCTATGTATATGCCTTGTTTTCTATAGATATGTAGATATATCATAATATTTTTATATTTGAAGATGCACATTTTTCTCCATATTCTCTTCTCTGTGAAATTAGAATGTAGTTTACAATCTGTTGCATAGTGCAATGTTGTTCTTGTCAGACAGAGAGTAGTTCTCAATGACTATGCAAGTATAAACTTGTTTAAAGCTGTTCATATTGTTGTCAATTTCACTGAATTATGGTTATTGTTGGTGTTTCACATTTTGAGTTTAACTGTCATTTCAGTTTTTTAAAAGATTACGATATGATAAAGCAATGAAAGAAAAAGTTGTGTACACTAAAAGGCTTGATAATTAGACATTGGTGTGTTTGGTAATGTTAAGCAAAAATACTTTTGTTGAATTGACTGAAATTCCGCATTTGCTTCCTAAGCAACAATCAAGATATGAAGAGTTGCAAAAGTACATGAGGATGTATTTATTGTTTTCTTACTGATATATGTTCAAAATAAAGACTAGAACTACCCTTAGGGTGTGGGTGTTAGTGTACAATTTGTTGTGGGAGGCCCTGTCTATAAAGGGCAATGATAGTGTAGCTTACTCTCAAGTGTATATGTATCCACAAAAAGAGAGAGAGCAAGCACAGGAGAGAGAGTGACAGGGAGAGTATAAAGACAGTGGGATACAAATGTTAGTAGCAGGGGAATCTGGTGAGTGAGGGGTGGACAGAATTCACTGAACTGCTCTAATATATTGGGGTAACTCTCAGCGGTGGGTGGAAGGTAGTGCCTGTGACCAACTTGCCAGGAAACAGCACAAGCACTGGGTAAGCCAGGCAGCCTGGGCTCCCTCCCATCTGCCACCCCTGCCCCCTTCAGCCTTTCCAGACTTCCCACCTTCTACTCCCCTCCATTCAGATCACCTCTTGACCCTTCCTCTTCCCCCCACCCCAACTCACTTGGTGATGTCATCAGCGTAACCCCTGTGACCTCATAGAGCAGATCCCCTACTGTCGCCAAGCAACCCAATGTGGACAGCAGTTAAGAGCAGCAGGGGCAGGCGGCCCTGTCACCTGGCGGTGGTGTGTAGGGGCACCACGGCCTCTGTGAGGCAGTCTCCAGGTCAGAACAGCCGGGAGCTGCTGGCAGAAGGGTAGTGGCAGCGGTGGTGGAGTCAGCTGCCTTGTGGAACACAGGTGTCCAGTAGCCCATGAGTCCAGCCAAGTTCCCATCTCTCCTTCCTCAGCCCTCCTCTCCACCACCTTCCCTGTCCCCTGTTACCTACCTCCACCTCAAAGTCCAGCCGTGGCTCACCTATTCCCGTGCCCTGTGGGTTGCCACTCCCCTTAACCGTGGTCTCCCCCACCTTATGCCTATCAGGAAGCCTCCCGACAAAGATCGGCCCATGGCGCTGTCTCTGGCCGAAAAGTGCCTCCAGAAGGAGTTCCTCCACCTTTCTCGGAACCCCCCAGAGCTGTGCTCCACAGGGCCCATCACAGAAAACCTGTTCAACTGGCAGGGAATTATACTGGGGCCCAGGGACAGCCCCAATCAGGGAGGAGTCTTCTTCCTTACCATCCAATTCCCATGGGAGTGCCCCTTCAAACCACCCAAGATCCAATTTAAAACCCGAATTTGCCATCCGAACATAAACCATAATGGGTGCGTCTGTCTGGACATCCTTAATGCTGAGTGGTCTTCCGCACACACAGTTTCCAAAGTATTGCTCTCACTCAGCACCATTTTATGTCATCCCAATCCACACAATATTCTCGGTCCAGAAATTGGGAAGATTTACATATATGATAGGCCAAAGTATGAGTTCATGGCTCAAGTATGGACGAAGACGTATGTCATGCAATTTAACAATTAATAATACAATCACCTTAATAAAACAATAAGTTCAGGTGATTGTGTTTTGACTGCTATCTATGAAGAAACGTTTCCCCATTCTTTTGGGCACAAGTTGTACACCCTCCCCATCAGGGTGTGTGTGGAAGGGGTGGAGGGAGGCATGGGGTGGGAAGACAAGGGGGTGGGGCAAGGTTGGGGGGATGGGTGAGTGTGAGACAGACCAGTTTTTTAAAATATATTTTTATTGATTTCAGAGAGTGGGAGAGAGAGATAGAAACATCGGTGATAAGAGAGAGTCATCGATTTGCTGCTTCCTGCATGTCCCCCATGGGTTGGGGATCTAGCCCACAACCAGGCCATGTGCCCTGCCCAGGAATTGAACCGTGACCTCCTGGTTCATAGGTTGACCTCAACCACTGAGCCACCCTGGCCCAGAAAGACCGATGTGTTGTAATCTTCATTTTACTAAAAGCTTTCCTTACTGATTTAGGACTAGGAAAGCAAACACAAGAGGTGGTGTATTTAGAATAAGGATAGCAGTTCCACCAGTTAGTAGAATAATTTTTAAGTGGTAGTCCTTTAGAACTGACAATATTGAGGAAAAACTTGATGAAGATTACAAAAGTGAATAAGTATCAAATTATACTTCAAAACCACTGTAATCAAAACAGACTGGTACATGCACAAGAACAGGCATATAGATAAATAGAAAATTGGACAGGTACATGCACAAAAATTAAACTAACCACTAACTTACCCCATACACAAGAATAAACTCAAAATCGATAAAAGGCTTAAATGTAAGTCATGGAACCATAAAAAATACTACAAGAAGCCATAGGAATAAAAATTTCAGACATCTCTCAGAAAAATATTTTTACCAAGAGAAAAAAAGCAAAAAGCAAAAAAAAAAAAAAAATAGCCAAATGGGACTATGTCAAAGTGAAAAACTTCTGCACAGCAAAAACAAACAAAAACCCACAGATCATCAACAAAATGAAAAGGGAACCCACTGTTTGCGAGGGCATATTTGCCAGTGATACATCTGATAAGGAGTTAATTTCCAAAACATTCAAAGAACTCACCGCAACACCAGAAAGACAACCAATCCAATTAAAAATGGACAAAGGGCCCTAACCGGTTTGGCTCAATGGATAGAGCATCGGCCTGTGGACTCAAGGGTCCCAGGTTCGATTCCAGTCAAGGGCATGTACCTTGGCTGCGGGCACATCCCCAGTAGGGAGTGTGCAGGAGGCAGCTGATCTATGTTTCTCTCTCATAGATGTTTCTAACTCTCTATCCCTTTCCCTTCCTCTCTGTAAAAAATCAATAAAATATATTTAAAAAAAATAAAAATAAAAATGGACAAAGGACATAAATAGACACTTCTCCAAAGAGGATATGCAGATGGACAAGAGACACATGAAAAAATCCTCAAAGTCAATAATCCTTAGAGACATACAAAGTAAAACTTCAATGAGATATCAACTTACACCTGCCAGAATGGGTACGATGGACAAATCAATAAACAAGGGTTGGAAAGACTGTAGAGAAAGGGGAGCCCTAATACACTGTTGGTGGGAATGTAGACTGGTGTAGCCATTGTGGAATACAGTATGGGGTTTCCTCAAAAAAAAATGGAACTCCTATTTGATCCAGTGATCCTACTTCTAGGAATATATCCTAAGGAACCTGAAACACCAATCAGAAAGGATATATGTAGCGCTATTTACAATAGCTAAGGTCTGGAAACAGTCCAAGTGCCCATCAGTAGATGAGTGGATAAAAAAGCTATGGTACATTTACACCATAGAATACTATGCAGCAGTAAAAAAGAAGGATCTCTTACCCTTTGAAACAGCATGGAGTGATCTAGAGAGTATTATGCTAAGTGAAATAAGTCAGTCAGAGAAAGACAAGTATCACATGATCTCACTCATATGTGGAATCTAATGAAAAAAATAAACTGATGAACAAAATAGTTCTAGAGTCATGGAATCATGGAACAGACTGTTAAATCTCAGAGGAAAGAGGAGGAGGAGCAGAAGAACTTAAGCAAAGAACTTTTATGCATATATGCATAACCCAAGTACACAGGCATTAGGGCAATATGCCTGGGGGATGGCAAGTGAGAGGTTGAGTGGTCAATGAGGGAAATAAGGGGATATATATAATACTTTCTACAATAAAGATTATATATATATATGATGACATTACATATAAATAAATCCTAAAATTGAAAATAAGTGAAATTTCCGTTTAATTAAGGGAGTGGTTTTAAATATAATATATCTACACCATGGAATATATTTAAGCTATTCAAAAATACACACCTGAGCCCTGAATGGTGTGGCTCAGTTGGTTGGGCATCATCCCATGCACTGAACATTTGCCTGTTCCATCCTAGGTCAGGACAATTGCCAGGGTTGCAGCCTCAATCCCCCATCGGGGGCCAGGGGTGAGGGTTGCAGGAAGCAGTTGATTGATGTTTCACTCTCACATCAGTGTTTCTCTCTCTCTCTTTTCCTCTCTCTCTAAACATCAATATACAAATCTTTAAAAAATATACACTTGATCTATACCAGATATATGTCAGAATTTTCCAGATAAATAGAACAAATATGACACTATGTGTAACAAGTCTATACACACACACACACACACACACACACACACACACACAATTGATCCTCATTATCCATGGTAGTTATTGCTATTAAGAGTCATCACAAACACTGAATTTGCAAACTCTAAACCTTTACTCTTCAAGAAAATACGCACATACACACATATCACATAGACTATATCTTAAATCCCCAAGACAATTCATCTTGATAGATTTCATTTTTTATGTTTTACAAAGAAAGAGAAAAGTTCAAACATGTAATATGTCTTGCTGGAGGCCACCCCACTACAGATGCCAGAGTTGGTATTCAACTCCTATCCAACTGGCTCCAGAGTCAGGACTTCTTGCACTTCCCTGAACCACCTAACCGTCTCCATTCTTTATTCATTTCTGTGTTAGAGATAAAACAAGAGGCAGAGTGCAGTCTTGACCTCAGCTGGGAATATATGAATTGGGCAACAAAGTTTTGTTGCTGTTCTGCACATGTCCACAAATAACCAAGAAAGTATGTGAATACTGTTTTTGGGTGTCAATTTAATTTTTGTTGGTAGGTGAATTCACAAATATGAAATCCAGAAATAATTTGTGTGTGTGTGTGTGTGTGTGTGTGTGTGTGTGTGTGTGTGTGAAGAGATTTAAGGATTTGGCTAACTTGATTATGGGGACTGGCGAAGCTATATCCCTTAGGGCAGCCTGACATCTTAGAGATTCAGGCAGGGATTGCAGTTTTGAGTCAGAACTTCTTCCTGAGAAATCTCAGTTTTTACTGTTTTGCTATTAAGGCCTTCAACTAGATGATATTCAGCCATATGAAGGTGTGTTACGTTACCTGATTGTGGATGTTAACCACATCTACAATATACTTTCAGGGCAACACCACAAGTTACTGTTTGATTAAATATCTGGGCAAGTTGACACATAAAATTAACAATTACACCAGGTGACTTGGATTTACTTTTATGAAAAGAAGGAAGAGTGGAAGAAGGAGGAGGAAGAGGAGGAAGAGGAAGAGGAGAAGGGAGAAAAATAGCACTGGAACAAAACACAGCATGATCACATATGTCAACATATGTAAAATTGTATAGATGTGTTTTTAATGCATAAAAAATAGAGAAAAATTCTGGTCCAAATGAACACTCACATGCACGTAGTAAAAGTTATAAATAGTTAAAATATTTATTTTTGAAAAAAGAGGAGAAAGTCACCTTATGAAACATTATATTGCAAAGCCATGGCCACTGAAATTGTGTTTCACTAGACTAAGGATAAAGAAGTTTACCAATAGAACCTCATATACATTCACACACACACACACACACACACACACACACACATACATACACACACAAACTATATCAGAAATTGATATATTTGGAAAATAAGAGTTGTCTCACTGAGAGGGGAAAAATAAAAGCAGACAATTTACTCTCTACATAAAATAACAAAGTCCAGATTGATTAAAGATATAAACATGAATGAAACAGTGTAAAATAATTTTATAAATGTTAGAAGTTTGTGAACTTTGGATGTGGAATAAATATTTAATCAAAACTCACAAAAGCTTAAATTATAAAAGTAAAAATAATAGATATGACTAAAATAAATTTAAATATTCTACTTATTCAGCATATTTAGGCAACTGATCACACTCCAGGAGATATTTGCAGTGTATACAACAAGAAATGATTAGTATATCTATCTGAACTCCTGAAAATCAAGGCAAATATGGGAAACAGCAGAAAACTCTTTTCTTATGAGCAAAATACTATTTTCAGAAATTGAAAATCAAATGGCTAATAAGGACATGAAGACCTGCTCTATATGACTAGGTATCAGATACATGAAAATAAAAACAAAAAAATAAATAGCTCTTTTCAGACATCATGTTTATAAAAATATAATCAAATAATACTAAATAATAATAATATGGGGAATGAGAACCTGTTCACTGTTGGTAAAAGTATAAACTTGTGCAATCAGTATTGTGAGCAATCTAGCTGTATTGAGTGAAATCAACTTTGGGTATATCCTCCAACCCAGAAATCTCTCTCTTTAGTATATAATCAGAGGAAACACTCATCCAGTGTGTTCAAAAATGTGTTCATTATAGTGTAGTTTGAGGTCAGCGAGGATTGTATAATATACTATACTAGAGGCCTGGTGCATGAAATTCGTGCACTGGGGAGGGGGTGTCCCTCAGCCTGGCCTGTGCCCTCTCGCAGTCCAAGACCCCTCGAGGGATGTCTGACTGCTGGCTTAGGCCTGATCCCCAGGATCCCTCACTCTTTACCACCTGCTCACTGCTCCTTACCTCTCGGCGCACTGCTCCTTAGCACTGCCATGAAGCCAGCCATGAGCCCGGCTTCTGGTTGAGTGGCACTCCCCCTCTGGGA